CTCTCTCTCTCTCTCTCTCTCCCTCCCTCTCCCTCCATGTCTCCCTCCCCCTCCCTCTCTCTCCTGACAGCCTGTCAGTATCTCATGCAGCTCACTGATCCAGTAATGAGTGACCCGACACTGAAGAATAAACATATTTATAACTAGTTTAGTTCCAGAGGTAGATCAAATAGCTAAGTGTGTTAGGTCTAACTCTTAGTGTGTGCTTCGCTCACCGGTCCGTCACAGTAGGTGGAGCTGCAGGATTTCTGCTTCACACACGTTGCATACCGCTATTTTACTGTCTTTTTCAGACACCTTAAAATACTGCCAGACCGGTGAAGCCATTTTGGCGGCCGATCGATCGGAGCATCCCTAGCTTGTATTGAAGCACCTACAGGAGTTTTTCCTTTAGTTTCCCTACTTTAAAGGGGACCTATCAAGCAAAATGCACTTTGTGATGTCTTTTATACATACATATGTGTCGGGGAACTCACGCAGCGTCAGAAAATAAAACCCTCTCTCTTTTCCTCCGTACCCAAATCTCTAAAAACGGGGGTACAACGAGCGGATATAGATTCCATCCGCTGTAATTTCGGATGGCGGGCCCACAGAAAGTTGCTATCAGAAACAATGCCTGACGTGTTTTGGACGTAATCTCGTCTTTGTTTACATTAGCCAGCCTCGCTAACACTCAGAGCTAACCTGTACTGGAGAGCACATGTGTTTGAAAAGCAGGAAATAAAGAAAGGAACTCACCTTGTGATAAACCCGCAAGAGAAAAAGTATTTGAGCTCCATACTGTTTCAGAAATAATCCCTGACGTGGTTTAAACAGGATGGCGTTTTATCACAGCAGAATTTAACTTTATCTCCGGTAGAATTCTGATCAGGCATTAGCTCCGCCTCCTCTTCTTTTTTTTTTCAAGCTAAAAAAAACTTCACATACATGTTTTGTATAGGTATGGCACTACAACATATGTTTCAAATATAGCAAGATAGGTCCATTTTAAATTCAAACTGAAGCGAAGGTTTTTGTTGAGGAAAATAAAGCAGACAGCCGGATCCTCTTCTCATTAATGACGTTTGAGATGGCACTAAAGAGTCTCTTGGATGCAGAGGCAGACAGTTTGAGGTAATTGTGAAGCTTTCTCTCTCCAGTACTGTTGTGAATGGTCCGACCTTGGGATGATTTGCTCTGCGAGGCAAACAGACCCTTTCTCTGTCTCACTCACTGCTAATATTTAATCAGATTCACTGCAAAGGCTGCTGCCGGCTCACATTCGACGTGCTGGGTTTTTCACAGTCTGCCTCTGACACTTCACTGGCATCCCTTCTTACATTTATCTCTTCCACCTTAGCATCCTTAGCATGACTCAGCTTATCTGAATTTGTGAAGTATCTTTAAATAGATAAAAGACATGTGTGCTTCAATAAAAAAGCATTTCATTAATTTGAATACTTTTTTACAAAGGGCGTATAGAATAACATATTCACATAAATGTAAGAGCTTAAAGGTAGGGTAGGTAAGAATGGAGAAACCAGCTCGAGTGCTCTATAATTTGAAAGTACGCAGCCGAAAAAAATCGGCCCCTTCCTTCAGACTTCCTCACAGAGCCCCTCCTCCAACACACACGAACGCACACATGACCAATGAGGGCACGAGATAAGTTTGTGCACAGATGGAAGGCTGACAGGCAGGTAGGCCATCCAGTTACTTTAGCCGGGCCGTACTTTTTACAGCGCCACGGCTTCCACAGATGAAATGTGTTTATGTATTTATTGTCAAAGCATTTAATGTATTCATTGCTATCGGGATGTTAAGAGCATTCCATGGAATATAACAAAAAGTGTTTCTGAAGTGAATTACCTACCCCACCTTTTATTTTTATTTTATTTCCACATAGATTGTATTCTCCTCTGATACAGTTAAACCTTTCCTGTTTCTGTGGATGCTTAAAAATAGTAAAAAAAAAACACATTTTAAGCAAAAAATAATGCTAATGTGTTGATTCTGTTCACTCAAATTAGTGTTGATGGAATTTAATATCCCTGCAGGGGGTAAAAACTCAGTTATCTGTCCAAAGCTGACAGTCCACATGATGATCCTCAATTATTGACAGGAAACACGTCGCCCCGGGCATCGAGACAATTCACAGTGGTGGCGTTAAGGAGGGAACTTTATATTAACGCTGCGAGCGGTCAACAGAGCAGAACGGAAACTTTCTGCTGATACGGCTGAGCTGTACGTTGGCTCAGGTCCACAGAGAGGTAGCTTTATGAAATTAAAACTTCCCTCTAATAAGTGAGGGCTGCTATCTCTCTCTTTCCATGCTCCACTGATACTGCCAAGGCATTAAGTACATCTTAACGATATAGCTTCTTCTCCTCCTCATAGAATTAGAACAGGATTGCTGTCCTATTACCTCTGCTGTGGCCAAGTGATGAAGGGTATTTTTTAGAATATAGAGTGCATTGGGGTGTAGCTTGAGGACTAATACAGTGGCACAGTGATGTCGTTCTTCTGTAGGCCGACGCGGAAGATAGCATCGCACAGGTTCCCTCGTCAAAAAGCCAATTCCATTGGATTTTGGAATATTGCCGAAAATAATATCTAAGTTATGATACATAGAATAATCTCGACGTATTTACACCACTTTCATGATTCTGAAGCATAAATGTAATCGGTGGAAGTAAATTTGTTAGGCTATAAAGTATTAATAGTATTTTATGTCGCAGGACAAATCTCTCGAGCTTGTGTCAGCCAGACCTTAATAAAACCAGCAGTGCTTAGATGCTAACTTGTCAGGATTCGGGAAAAGGTAGGACCCAAATGCAGTTTAAAAGGGAAGCGGGTTTCCAAACAAAAGCAAGCTTTATTCAAACAAAGCTGTTGGCATGAAAAAACAAGACAAAAACCGTGAATCATAAGCAGGTAGCATGAGGTAAGTGACAAACATGGAGAGTGAGAAAATACAACGAACCGACATGGAGACAAGACTAAATACACAGAAGGGTAATCACAGGACAAGACACAGCTGGGCAGGGGAGGCAGAAACACAAGGGACACAATCAGACACAGGAGGGCAAACACAGGAAGGAAGACCAGACCCGGAATTTCAAAATAAAACCATGACAAGACAGACAAAACTAAAATTGTGATATAACTCATGTCCAGGTCTTTAAGACTCATTCCTCCGCCACCATATTTAGTCGCATTGAAGCCTTAGACATTCACCAGTGGGGTATTTCCTGGCGTATTTTATGTCCAAACTTATTTCAAGCATTTATCAAAAACACATTCATAAGTTGATTGAGTTCGAGACGAGTGAACCCGAAGTGCTGTAATGCTAACTCATTCCCTGGTTTTAGGACTCATTTCTGCACCGCTTTATTCTATATTAAAGTAGTGAGGCTTGGGTGTCATTGAGTGTGACTGCATTTTTTTTTCCCGTCAAGTTATGGCACAATGGTGTTCCTCTGCTGGGAGAACTTTTGTTTTGAGAAGTGTTTAATGAATAGTATTTTTCCATCTTTATCTCCTTCCTCATCCTCTGCTCTTCTGCAGCCTCCTCTGGTTTCTTCAGGCTGCTTCTGGAGCACAAAGGCTTGCTCTGTGCGGGGAACAGGTACAGTGGAACAAGATAACCCGACACACACAATGAACAGTACTGCTGTCTGCAAGGTGCTACAGTGTGTGTCTATGTGTTAAACTGTCGTGACTCAGAAAGTATTTTACCAATCCTCCCTGTCGGAGCAAATTCAACAGATATTCGACTCAGGCGTCTTTTTATTTCGGAGTTTTTGCTCAGCAGCATGTCAGCCTCAGAGCAACGGACCTGCAGCTTCAAAGCCAAAAGTGTGTGTGTGTGTGTGTGTGTGTGTGTGTGTGTGTGTGTGTGTGTGTGTGAGAGAGAGAGATTGTGGTCATGAAGGCGGTAGGTCCCCGCTGCTCTGAGCTGCAATGAAACTGAACCATGCAGGGTCTTGGTTTCATATTTGAAAAGACCAAGTCAAGGCACATCCTGTCCTGTGTCTCACAGTTCAGTCCTCACTGTTCGGACCGTGCATTGTGGGAAATGTGTGCTCTGTGTGCCCCTTTTCCCACTTTCTTTCTGCCTTTTTTTATGTAGTCCAGTCGGACTTTGTCGGACTTTGCTGTGCATTTCTCCCTCTTGCACTATGTGTTACATTTACACAGCGTTACCTCATAATCCAGACTGTAAACATTGCACACTGCTCTGTATATCTCACAATTTTGGCACAATTGTAAACTAAAAACACTTGTTCACTAGCTCCTTTTTAGTTTTTTAACAACGTAGTCATTTTTCTGTTTTTGTACGCACCATTAGAGACCAAAGCAAATTCCTTGCATGTGAAAACCTACCTGGCAATAAACCAGATTTTTATTTCTGATTCTTCATTATCCTTTCAGGCACCAACAGCTGAACACATCATTCTGTGGTTTTCTACAGAAACTCACCATGTTTCTACTTTTCCAGTCAGACCCTGCTGCGAGCTCCTGCCAGAGTGGTATGCAAACACACACACACACACACACACACACACACACACACACACACACACACACACACACACACACACACACACACACACACTGACAGAGACACACACACACACACGAGACACACACACACACACACACACAGAGACACAAACACACACTGACAGAGACACACACACACACACACACACACACACACACACACACACACACACACACACACACACACACACACACACACACACACACCGGGGCTGTTCCTGTCAGTTTCCAAGCAATGATGTCATTATACCAGTCATTTAAAAAGGCGAGCTGTCTGACAAAAACTGTTGATACTGCTCGCAAGATTTGTTTGTTATGAGTAAAGTAGGTCAGGTCTGATAAGGACTCCAGATGGTTTTACCTTAATCTAAACGTCCAAACCTATAAATATCTCTGAAAAAGCTTCGACTTAATAGTTTGTCATTCAAGATGTTATTGACGTGCGATATTTTTGTTCTGTAGATTTATATTATTGTGTATTTAAACACGTTTACAGCTCACTTTAAAGTTACTGTGCTCAGAATGTGTCAGCTGATTAAATGTTATTTAAGTGAGTAAAAACAAATGCCAAAATCCGGTCCTTTCTTCCTTCAAGCCGCTTTAACTTCCCCGAAACGTTTGATGGTAAACTGCAGTTGTTCCCTGGAGACAGGATGTGACTTTGAGACCCGAGTTGACTAAAATATTTCTTAGAGGTAATGAGATGTAAGAGCGTGTAGGTGTGTGTGTTTGTCTTTGAATAATGGCTTCTGCAGCGCCACACTGGTGTTTGTTCCTCTTCCTCGCTGCCTGCATCTCCCTTATCTGTTACTTTCATTCAGCCTGTTGTTTTCTTCTCAGCCATGAATTTTTACATTTTACTCTTCCACTGCAAGATATTGCTGTTATTTCAGATGTTGTTATACAGAATTGGGAATGTTTCTTTTTCTTTCCTCTATTTGCCATTCTGTTCTGTATACTCTCTGCAGGAATGTGTTTTGTGACTCAGAAATTAGTCAGCATTTTGGGGTTGGGATGTGACGTCACGTCGTGTCACGTGACTTGAATTTTGAATTGAGCCGTCCCTTAAAAGTAGGGTAGGTAAGAATGGAGAAACCAGCTCGAGTGCGCTAGAATTTGAAAATACGCAGCCGAAAAAAATCGGCCTCTTCCTTCAGACTTCCTCACAGAGCCCCTCCTCCAACACACACGAACGCGCACATGACCAATGAGGGCACGAGATCAGTTTGTGCACAGATGGAAGGCTGACAGGCAGGTAGGCCATCCAGTTACTTTAGCCGGGCCGAGGCAGATGATTGGTCGTGCTTTTTACAGCGCCACGGCTTCCACAGATGAGATTTTTTAATGTATTTATTGTCAAAGCATTTAATGTATTCATTGCTATCGGGATGTTAAGAGCATTCCATGGAATATAACAAAAAGTGTATCTGAAGGGAATTATCTACCCCACCTTTAAGTTATAGATACTATCTCTGTACGTATTAGTGATGGGAATTCCGGCTCTTTTTAGTGAGCCGGATCATTTGGCTCGGCTCACTAAGAAGAACCGGCTCTTTCGGCTCACCACAATTTACCACGGAGCCTCAGTTTCGCCGCTGCGAGGCTCCGGCGCTCGCAGTTCACGCGCGTGCTCCACTAGCACCCCCCTTCAAGGCTCGCCGGCAGTACACTTTCCGTCACAGGAACACGCTTTGCTGGCGGCGAAAAGAATCCCACCAGACTCCTTTGTCCCTCCAACAGAGGGATGCCCTTGTTCTTTTTCGTTTTCGTCACTTCAAGCGATTTTTTTTGGACGCCCTCGGCTCGAGTTCAGGGCGTTCCGAGCTGGGCGTCAAATGAAGGCAAGACGCCCCCCTGGCGGAAACGCTGGCCACAACCATGGGTGAATGCTGACTTGTTTATGTAAAGAGTGTTTAAGGGGTCTATTGGCAAAGATGTGCAATAGCTGACAAAGTTGCTCCTATCTTCTCTCCTCTTCTCTGGCCTTTTTATTCAAATTCAAATAGCTTTATTGGTGTGATCAAAACCTGAGCATGAGGCGACATGTCACTGCAGCCTGCTTTGTAGATCTGTTTGTAGCCTTCCTCCCATCTGTTGTTCTCATCTTCCTCATCCGTCCATCCTCTGCCTCTCCTCTGCCCCCAGTTCCCTGGAGGTGACCGCTTCATTTGTCCCCTTCTCCTCATTTTCCCCTTTCTTTCTAAAACAACACCATTTATTTCTGTGTCTTTCTCCTTCCCTTTTCCACACGGAGTTCTTTCTGGTTCTGCAGCCCTGGCCTCTTCTCTTTTGGTCCCTGTTTATATTTAATCTCTCCTCCTTTATCTGTATTTCTTCAGCTCTTATTCCCATCTTCCCCTTTGTTTTCCTCTCTGGTTGATTGGTAGTGTCTCCTCCAGTGGCTTTATAGCCTCTTGTGTAGTCGTGCATCAGTGACCCATATTTCTATCTATCCTTTTATTTTTCTTGTGACCCCTTCAAATACTGCATACAGTTTCATCTTTAACTCCTAAATTAAAGGTTGAAATACCTTATTTTTATCAGTAATTTCTCTATTCAGTGTCATGTTTCAATGGTACTCTTTCTCTCCTCTCTTTCTGTGTTGGTCTCATTTAGTTTCTGTATAAGCTGCATCTCATTTTCCTCCCCCACTCTTCCCTTTTCTCACCCCTATATCACTTTATTCGGTTCCCTGAAGATCACCCAAAGATGGAGTCAGTGCTTGGTTGCAGAAAGTCCTGCTCTTTTATCTTTCTTGGAAAAAGAAAATCTGAATTCCCTGCTGTGCTTCACATCTTCCCTTCCCTTTGTCTTTTCACTGCGTCTCCTCTCTTACCATTTTATTTACATGATTCATTTTATTTTTAGTCTATCAGTTATCGAGTGCCTTATACTTTCACTCCCCTTCCTACTGTGTCTTTCTCATTATTTCAGTTTTCATCTGGATTTATTATTCTTAAGGGACCTCATTTATTTAAAAAAAGGCTTGACATTTACTAAATATGGGAATATGGCTATCCTAAGAAGATTCTAAAATTGTAATTAAAGGACGCATGATATCCAAAGCTTGATGGATATTGGCTTTCTACTTGAACACAACATAGATAATAGGAGAAAATAGTCTCATCCCTACATTTTCTCACTTAAGGCGAGACACGGCAGGCAAAAACATCGTTTTTCAAGTACTGGTCAATTTTGAGATTTTGTGCTATTTTGATTCCATAACATGTTTTCTTTCAGGCTTTTGGAAGGAAAACGTACAAAATACACATTTAAGTGTTTATTTTACTATAGTTTGTCTATTTGCGTCTGTAGATTTCTCCTAAATTCACCAAAAGTTAGCATTCTAACGTAACGTAAATAAAGTACCGCGACCGCTGTGTGCACCATGTCAACAGAGGTTAGGGCTGTGCGATTATGGCAAAAATCATAATCACGATTATTTGGTCAATAATTGATATCACGATTATTTTGACGATTATTCATTGACCATTTATTGAACTTTAAAACAAATAATATTTTACCAATAAACAAGATCAATAAATGTGTTGGAGCGCACTTCCAAAACCATACTAAACATATATTATTAATATGATAAATAAAAATAAATTAAATGAAATCAAATATGTTGCAGTGCACTGTCACAACCTACTGAAAACTCCTTAACATATAGCCAACATGTTGGTAAAACATATTCAACATATTCCACTCAGTTAAACATTGAAGGCTGGCCAACCGTCATGGTCCAGAAGTAACAGGAAATAAATGTTGAACTACAATTTAAGACCAAATAAAAATGTTTAGGCCACCATGGCAAATGCTGGTAGGGCTGCTCGTGTCATCTCTTAAAGATTTTTTGCAAGAAATACCAGCCTGTTTACATGGTCTGGTTTCAGAGATGAGCGCAGGCAGGTGACAATATTGCCACCTGTACTGAAGACCCTCTCTGAAGAGGAACTTGTGGCAGTGCTGCCACATATGACACAGGACAAAAGGAAAGACTCTGAAGAACCCTTTCTTTGCCATTATATAAAAATAGTGTTGCTACAAAAGTATAAATTAGGCTTACTAATAAGACAACTCAGATCTGAAGCTACACAGTAATCTGCTGCAGCAACAGTGCAATAAAAAAGACAACATTAATAGAATCAAACCCATTTTTTGTTGCATTTTAGTAGAGTATAAAAAGAAATGCCTTTAAAATAGGATGCAAGCAACACTAGTTTCTGAACTGATAGACTATAATCAATTTAAACAGAACAGATCTTAATGTTTGCATTCTTATACCATTTTGTACAATAATTATCATGAATAAATTCAAACAAACTAAAACTTACAGCTGATTAATAACGGTATCTAAATTGAGTTTTTATTATATCAAAAACCTGTTGAAATGCTTCTGTTATCTGCAGCCTCCAGGAAAGCTTCTTTCATAACTTCGCCGTCTTCGAAAGACTTCATGTGTTTCGCTAGAACGTGACTGACACGATAAGATGCTATGGTAGCAGCCTTGCTCTTGTTGTTGGGCCTGGTGAAAATGGACTGCTGTGCATTTAGCTGTCCTTTCAGGCCCCTCCCCTTTTGGAGCGTAGGGCAGAATTAGGAGGGAATTCCGTCTCGCAGCGTTTGTGCACTGTTTTGAAATGCCGCTCCTAAATTACCCTTCTTCGATAAAGTCACGCTCGCATTGCAGATGAGACAGATGGACTTTGAATTGGAATAGATACAAAAATAATCATCCTCCCACTTGGAGTGAAAATTATATATTTTGGGCTTTTTTGCTTCTGCCATAATTGCGGTCTTGTGTGTGTGCGGACTGTCACTCCTGTTGACCATCCATGCTGTTGACACGGACAACGTCAGCGAACTAGTGCACTGCTCACCAGCCATGCCCGGACACATGGGGTGAGGCCGGCCAATCACAAAGCTTTGATGCGTTCAAGTGCATTATTCTGGCACGGGAACATTAACGATAAAACAGAATATTGTTGTTCTATTTTTAGACACATCTCGCGATCGACTGGGAATCTCCCCGCGACCCTTCTTTTTAACTAGTTGCTGCTCTTGTTCTGACATCTTCGCTTGCGCTGAACACTCACAACACATGTCACTCCCACGTGGCCGAGTGGGCTTTTAGGGAGGGGTGAAAGCGCACCCAGCAAAATAATCGTATTTTGTCAATTATGCTGTTTTCCTAATCGTCGCAAACCATAATCGTAATCGCGATTAAAATACGATTAATTGCACAGCCCTAACAGAGGTATCGCTGGAAAGCTGTGTCTCTCCTGCACAATCTCATCGGATCCAAATATGGTAATTTCCTTTGTATCAGCAACCAATCGTGAAAGCACAAAGGGGTCTTAAACCAAGAAACGAAATCTCATTGGCTGGTGTCAATTTCTGACAACGTGATTCGTTCAGATGTGTCACGTGGTGTGCTAAAACACTTCCTGGTTAGCTTTCAGCTAGAAATTGAAATCTCAAAATGCCAAAAAGAACGGCGAAAAAAATGTTCACAGAGAAGACGACAACAATTGTCACTTGCACGAAGCAAGGTTATAAAAAAAAAAATGACCCCGAACATGAAATACCTTCACGGAGTGCGTCGATGCGCAAGCTATCATCCAAAGAACAGGAGGGTTTAGCTAGCGCCTCACTGCAATCTTTAAAGGTCGTTTTCTCAAATTGAGTTTTTTCTCCTACTCTGAGTTCGAAATTTCAACTTCAGTAGCACGTAGAGACACCAAACCTTCCAGTTATATTCCTATCAATATTATGAAGGCTTTTACAGAAGGGTTTGTTCATATATAATTCATAGCCTGAATTATACAACATTGTATACCTAAAAACATGGCGAAAATGGATATTTTAGGGCTGTTGACAGTATTTTCTGATTTATGGAATGATAAAAAGAGATATCCAATATCCCTTCTGTAAAAGCCTTAGATACTAATATGACTACAAAATGAAACAAGAATTTTGAATCTGGCTATATCCAAAGTTCAGATTTCGATTCCTGAAATGTGTTAAAATATGTGCATATTTAATGAGATAATGGATAATTTGCATATTTAAACATGCTATTTCAGAAAACTTGTAATACAAAAGACAATTGCCTTATTGTAAGTAATTAACTGGAGAAATTTCTAGCTGATACCTTTAAGTTAAAAAAAATTACCCTATTCACCTGGGGTGTCTCGCCTTAAGGTGCTGTTAACACGAGAACGCAAACGGTTGTATCCACTACTTTTCTCTTTCGTATAGCCCGTTCGTTCACACGAGGCCGTAACGGAACCGCGGAAACTGACCCCTAAAACGATAACGGGTCCCAAGGTGGATAGATCTGCGGAACGCTCTGGGGGGCCAAACGGCTCCGTGTGTACGTCCTATACGATCATTTCCTGATAACGATGAAGCCATAGCCCCGCCTCTCCCCACCGCTGCTGCTCACTGCTGTAGCATGGTCAGTAGCTACTGTGAACGGAAGACTTTTTTGATATTGTATTCGGTTCGTTTGCGTTTCGTATGCGTATAAATCGGGTCTAAAACTTTATAGGCTTTGTTTATTTACAAGTATCTTTTTCTCATGCCTCATGTGCAAGTCTTTCAGTCTTGCAATCCCTTGTAGTCTAGTCATTCCTCATGCTGTTTTTCATCTTGATTTTTCTCTTCTTTAGGGACTTTATCCATAAAAAAACATTAAACATTTTAAGTTTGCTATGTAAGGGAATATGGCTATTCTACGAATGCTATTATACATTTTAGTTGAAGCATGCATGACATTTAGAGCTTTGTTAATGATGGATATTGCATTTCTGTTTGATACAACATAGATAATTAGAACAAATGGTCTCTTCTCTGCAATTTCTCTCTTAAAAATGTATATGGTATTTTTTATTCACGTTTCTTTTTTCTTTTTGTTCTTTCAGTCGTCCAGTGTCTCTGCCCTTCCTACTGTTTCCTTTCATACTACCCCCTTAATTCCATGTGCCTTTTTGTCTTTATTTCATCAGATTCGGGGACCTCATTTATAATTAAAGAAAATCCTCTCTAAGTTTTTGGAACAGAATATGGCTATTCTAAGATTGTTTTAACATTTTAATTAGAGGACGTTTGATATCCACAGCTTGATGGACATTGGCTTTCAGCTTGAACATGACATCATAGATAATTAGAATCTTTTTTTTCTTCTCTGCATTTTCCATCTTTATACGGTATTGTTTATTTATCTGGTTCTTTTGCCTCATTTGCAAGTCTTTAAATCATGAATTTCACTCTACTTCTTACTGTTGCCTTTTATTGTTTCACCCGTCATCACATGCTCTTTGCGTTAGGGCTGCACGATATTGGAAAAAACTGACATTGCGATTTCCCCCCCCCGCGCATTATATATTGCGATATGAAAAAATACAGGAATTGAAGAAAAGACAGTTTTTTTTTGTCCGCAAACCATCCTTTCTTGAACTTTAATGCTATACGATTGGTATTTTTCTAACTATATTTAACCGGATGAAGGATTTTAGTCACGGACATCTGGATCTTAAGTTATCAGAGCAACAAGCTGAGCTAGCTCGGTTAGCAGCCCCAAACTGCCCTGGAGAAACACATGAAACGACTTTATTCACGGGTCCGTTGGCTTTGGAGATTTGATTGGTGGTTTGCTCTCACTCACTCAAGTACCCCTGACATGAGAGCCGCGCAAGTTTTCCTTTTGTAGCAAGCAGCAAAATAATTGTAACATGACGTGTTTGAGTTAATTTGCCTACTTAATGTGATGTGAATATCGCGATTATCGTCACGACACGATATATCGTGCAGCCCTACTTTGCGTCTTGATTTCCTCTTCTTTAGGGACCTTATTCATAAACCATCCATTCCTTTATAAGGTAATATAGCTATTTTAAGATGGCTTTTCAGATTTCAATTGAACCATGCATGACAGCCAGAGCTTGGTTAATGATGGATATTGGCTTTCTGTTTGAATGCAACACAGATAATTAGAAATCCGCGTAAACCCACTCATTTTCGGCTCCAGATATGTTTTTTCAGAAACCTCAGTTTTGGCTTGGTTTTTAGCCGTAAACATTGGTGAGTAATGATCCCTTTTAATAATCCCTCAGGGCCTCTCCTGCTGTGTTTTACTTTATTCCATCCATCTCACTCCCTCATCCATATCCTTTCCTTTTTATCTTTGTGTGTCTCTTTATGTAACTTCCTCCTGTCCCTGTTTCTAGCATATATTATTAATGCCTCTTCCTTTCTGTTCCATTTTCTTCCCCTAGATTTTGAGGAGATTGAGAATCTCCTGCTGCACAACCTCCCGTCTCTGTGTTGCCGCCTGTCAGACTGGCCCTCTCGGCTCTGTGACACCCCGGGGCTCCAGCTGAGTGAATATAAAGGACCAAGGGCCACCCAGTACTGCATGGTGATATTGCTGCACCTCGCCATGCAGCATGGAGACAGGTGAGCATAAATACACACAAGAAAAATGAAAATGAATCACCATTTTACTCACTTTTTCTGTCCACATAAAACAAAAACACAATAAAAATAACAAAAGTAAACATAAATTATGAAATACAAAAAGACAACAGCTGACATGACATCCTCCAATTAAAGTGAATACAGTTCAAATAAAAACCTATACATAATGGAAATGATGAAAATACAAAAATATATATATTTATAAAAGATAAATACATTTAAATTAAAAATAAATGAATAGAAAATACAAATAAATATAAATTAATAAAATACATTTAAAACATGAATACATCTAAAAGTAAAATAAATAAAATAAAATTGAAAAAGTAAAATGTTCCTCGCCGTTCAATGCTTCAGACATATCCTAATTTTCAATACAAAAATGCATTAAAAGTGTCCAGATAGAAATAAAGGCCTCACGTTGTCCTTAGAGTCAGAACTAAATATGGTAAAGCAGCGTTCAGTTATTATGCTCCAAATATCTGGAACAAACTCCCAGAAACCTGCAGGTCCGCTGCAACTCTGACTACTTTTAAATCCAGGCTGAAGACTTTTCTTTTTGTCGCTGCTTTTAATTGAACTATTCATATCTTAGACTGCACTGTAACTTTTATCCATGTACTTTTTCTTTTAATGTTTAATTGAACTATTCATATCTTAGACTGCACTGTAACTTTTATCCATGTACTTTTTCTTTTAATGTTTAATTGAACTATTTATATCTTAGACTGCACTGAAACTTTTATCCATGTATTTTTTCTTTTAATGTTTCTTTTATTAGCTTTTCTTTTTAATGACTGATTTTAAATGCCTTTTTCTTAATGTCTTTCATTTTTTGTAAAGCACTTTGAATTGCCCTGTGTTGAAAAGTGCTATATAAATAAACTTGCCTTGCCTTAAAAAATGTAAGTAATGTTCTCCAAAGAGAGCCATGAAAACTTATAATTAAATGTTCTCCTAAATAAAGCTGTGAAAAGCTTCGAATGGAGGAGACGTATTTATGAAAAACTCTTTATGTGTGTTAGGCATAGTTGAATACATTCCTGCTTATCAAAAACTTAGGGTGAACTCACTTTTTGATTTATTATGTTGCAGCGTTTTAAATAATTGAAAAGGGAGAAAAGCAATTGGTTTTGCAAACATTGAGCTTATTAGAAAGGCAAATCTTTGCTCAGTTTTAAATCAAGAAATATCTCTGAGCTGGTATTCTTGTGGAAATTAAATAAATATTTCAGTAGCAGTAAAAAAAGCATTTTGCTGATACAAATTCTAAGCACTTGTTCTGCTGCAGAGTGGGTTCTGTTCAAAGGAGCCTAGGTTTCATCTAGGGATGAGAATCAATATAAAGATTAAAATGCCACAAAAGCCCTCTCTGCTACAACGGTAGCCTCTGCTCCTCTGTGAATGCACTTATAGTTTAAGGGTGCGTTCACACCTGCCTTGTATAGTCCGGTTGAATCGAACTCTGGTGCGTTTAGCCGCTTGGTGCGGTTCATTTGGGTCGGTGTGAACACAGACCGAGACCTCTTAAGTGAAGTGAACAACCGGACTCTGGTCCTCTAAAATAGGTGGTCTCGGAACGCTTGCTTGCGAACTCTGGAGCGGTTCATTGCTGGTGTGAACGCAGTCCGCACCAAAACATAGGAAGCGTAGTATTTACGTGTCACAAGAACGCGGATGTCTTCAAAAAATTTCAGCGAAAGAGTCTTTCAAGACATTTAGTCTTAGAGTGAAGCAGAATGAGTTAAAGAATGAGTTAAAGAGTGAAGCAGAATGAAGTGTTGAACAGTGTTGTGTAAAGTAAAAATTCTCCGTCAGCTACATAAAAGTAAGAACACCTGTCGTCGGTGAAACCTCCTCCTTACTGCAGAACGTCTCTCATTATGTTATAATGTTTTTTAACGGACGTTGTCTGATTATATAATCATATGCGCGGGCCGCTAGTGTCTGTTGATCTCCAGATTAACAGCAGCATGAGAATAACCTGCCGAAAGTGCCGATGCTCCATGGCGGAGGCTCCGGTAGAAATTGCCGGGATTTGCGTTTTTACCCCCTTAATGTCTGACCAATGGTTGAACAGCATTTCCGTGCACATGACTTGTGTTTAAAGTTTATAGTCCGTTTGAGTTTTGCCCGAACGCAAACCGAACCTTCTGAAAAATGAAACAATGTAACAAACTGTCGTCTGGTGCGCACCAGAAAACGGACTATTAGGTGTGAATGCACCCTAAGTATGTCTTGAAAATCATTGACGGAATCAAATATTTCTCAATTTTAAAACCTGGAAATATTTTTGTGGTATGGGCGAGAGTCTTAAAGGTCACCTATCACGCTATTTTTAGGCAATAGCATGGGTCTCAGATAATATACAAATATATAAAAAACATGTCTATGAAGGGTTTTGCTCAAAATACCAAACAGATCACCCATTCTAGCCATGCCTCATATCCCTCTATTTCACTTCCTGTTTCAAAAGTGCTGATTTGGGGTATAAAGCAATAAAACATTGATACAAAATAAAAAAGGAGGGGTCTGAGCTCATGCGGGACCCGGCAGCTACTGTCTAAACTAAATACTGCCGTGATGAAACGCCATATCATGGATTATCAAGGATCTGAAACAGTATGGAGCTCAAAGGCTTTCTCTCTTGCCGGTTATACCACAAGGTGAGTTCCTTTTTATTTCCTGCTTCTTCACACACATGCTCTCCAGTACAGGTTAGCTCTGAGTGTTAGCGATGCTAATGTAAACACCGACCATATTACGTCCAAAACAGTCGGGCATTGTTTCTGATCGCAACGTTTCTGATAGGGCCGTGGGTCCACATTTCAGATATTACATCATATCGGACGCAAATCTGGATCAGCTCCGTTGTTCCCCCGTTTTTAGAGATTTGGGTACGGAGGAAAAGAGAGAGGGTTTTATTTTCTGACGCTGCGTGAGTTCCCTGACGCACCGGGGACACATATTTATGTATAAAAGACATCAAAAAGTGCATTTTGCATGATAGGTCCCCTTTAAAAAACATATTCACTAAGGACAGGTATTGAAGTTTAAGTTTAATTAATGCATTGACAGCCTTTCTTAAAGGAGGTGCAGTTTCATTTATATAGTACATTTTAAAATAAGGACATTTTGAAATGCTTTACAAAAAACAGTGAAAATATATTGCAAATGAAAGACAGTATACAATTACATTTAAATGCATCAATAAGCCAAGAGAATAGATATTAAAACAAGCTAATATAAAAGTAGGATGTATAAAAACAAGACCAAAGTTACTCTGCGGTGATGAGGTGTTTTTATAGGCAGACCTCGAAGTTAGCATCGCAAGGGCTCCCTCGACAGAAAGCTAGTCCATGGATTTCGAGTTATTGCTGAAACTAAGATCTGTGGTAAACACACTTTTATAATACATGCGCATTTTTCTTCATCAGAATAATCTCAATTAGGGATGCTCCGATCTCCAATTTTGGGGCCGATCGCCGAAATCAGTATCGGCCGATCCGATCGAGTGGGCGGGGCCTATGGGGATCTTCCATTTAAAGTGATGTGTAAAACTCAGTTAATGGGGCTTCCACAAACAACAACCAACAGAATGATTACATTCAAATGAAGTACATTATTCAAGTTTACATTAACTTTGGAGAATAACACGGGAGAAATGAGCAGAAGCGCTCTCTTTTCCTCTCTCCTGACAGCCTGTCAGTATCTCATGCAGCTCACTGATCCAGTAATGAGTGACCCGACAGTGAAGAATACATATATTTATAACTAGTTTAGTTCCAGAGGTAGATAAAATAGCTAAGTGTGTTAGGTCTAACTCTTAGTGTGTGTTTTGCTCCGCTCAGCGGTCCGTCACAGCGGGTGGAGCTGCAGGATTTCTGCTTCACACACGTTGCATATCGCTATTTTATTGACATTTTCGGACACCTTAAAATACTGCCAGACCGGTGAAGCCATTTTGTCGAGTTTGTTTTGCCCCACAGAGAAAAGTGTCATGTATTTTAAGTCATCATTTTACGTTATGCGATCGGCTCTCGCGATCGGTATTTTTTAGAGAGCACCGATCGATTGGCAGAGAGTGAGTATCGGCCGATCGATCAGAGCGTCCCTAATCTCAACATATAATCACCATTTTAGGAGTTTTGAAGCGAAATTGCAATCGTCAGAAGTGACCAGGAGGAAAAATGGTTTAAAAAAAGAAAAAGAAAAATCATAATTTGAAAAATTATTGATTCGAAAATAATATGATGCAGTACAGTACTATTACGTGTTGAGAGATGTATCCATAGATCTCTTAATTTTGCTCTCAAAGTGCACCAGATTGATGCATTTAACTTCAATATTTAAAAGTAAATCTTCCCGGGGGGGAGCTTGCCCCCGGACCCCCCTATGTGAGGTCCACACACCACCTATAAAAATAGCACTTTACCCCTGCTTACACCTATATGCCGTGAACTGATTATCGAGCCTTCATTGTAACAGTTGTATTGTCGTAACAATACAACAATTGTATTGTTGTTAATACACAACAGATATACGTTGTGTATATGCGTGGGAAATGTTGCAGTAGAAAATTCCACTGTAGCGACCGGTACATTAATGGGAAACCCTAAATGTTTGAGCACCCTCTATGAAACGTCAAGCTACCTGAGCTACTGAGCCTGACTATTTGTGTTGGGGGGGCCCGACTTTTTTTTTTCTCCAAAGGGGGGGCCTGACAGAAAAAGTTTGAGAACCACTGGGTTAATTCAATGTGTCTGTGTCACTTTGAATGATTTCTGATAATCCATGAGCAATAAATCTGCTTTTCGGTTTTGAGATGTCAGACCTAGAGACAGCTTCACTCTGGAGTAAAACCGTGCGAAGCCCCCACCTTTTTGTTTTACCATGTGTGTGTGTGGGGAGATTCCCCTTCGATTCTATTGGCTCTAACGGTCAGAAAGAGATGTCACATGTCAAAATCGAAGAAGGGGGGCCAGAGATAAGGAAAATCCACCCAAATGACCCCAGGAGAGGTTTGTTTTGCTAAATCTGTCTAAAAAGGTCAAATATCACTTGTTTTGCATCAATCTTGATACAGGGTACTTATTATATGTTGTACTTTGGATTCCTAAAGCTTTTAGTCTCCTTACCATCATCCAAGGTTAGTTTTCACTATAAGTACAACATATTTTTTGGACGGACACTATAATTTACAGTTTTTTTATCATGTTCAATCTGAATTTTCTTTAAAATAAAAAACATCTATATTGATTCTGACTTTTCTACATCCAACTCACAGGTTTATCATTACTTTGAGAAAAAAGATTATTAATTTAACCCTTTTAGAAGGGAAGATATGGTCATTTGTTCTGGGAAGGTTATTTTCGAGCCTGAGACCTGAAAAACAGGCTCAGGGCTTAACAGGTTAAAGGAACTACATCGCGGTCACATGACTTCACGTCACCACCGCTAAGCTAAAGGCCACTAATGATCGGCTTGATGACAAACAATATTCTCATTTGACACTCGTTAGTAACCGCCTGCATTTTGACACGTAGAAGAAATTCACTTGTGGGGATTTACTGATGAGTTTCATGTCTTAAAACAAAACGTAAAAATCTCTAAAGGTTATTTTACTACACACTTAGGAATCTAACAACCATTGACTTCAAGATGGGGCAACTGTAAGTGATCAAATGCTAACTCATTCCCTGCTTTAAGGACTCATTCCTGCACCACTCTGCCACCCAGCTCTATTAAGAAAGCTGCTGTCTTTGTACTGTATGTAACTCTCTCGCTGCTTCATGAGCACTTCTGCGGCCTATCGATGGCGTTCTTAAGTAAATATTTTATGACCTCAGAGAAAACGTGGGCTTACACGGAAAGCTTAATTTGTCCTTCTTTGGAACCTCGGCTGTGCATTGCCCCCCCCGGGGAAAGGGGATGAAAGCCTCCCCAACACTGTGTGGTCTCGTTAAGATTAATGGGAGCTGTGGCCAGATATTTACATAGCGTGGGAGGGCTGAGTGTGTGCGGGGATAAGATCTGTGTGTGTGTGTCCGTGTGTTGCTAAACATCCCGACTGTTTGTGTGTATTTATGCGTGAGAAAGAGAGATAACAAGTGTGGGTCATCAACAAGCCCCTGCAGCACTTAGTGTTTTTCCCCTTTGTTACTGTGTGTTTGACATGAATTCAAGTATGTGTATGTATGAGTGTTTATTAGGGCTGTACTCGAATATCCAAATATATGCACTGCGGCTGCCAAATTGAATTTATTGAAATCTCCAATATCAACGTAAGAGCTTGTGCCTCTTCGGGGGGTGCTAACACTTAACCATAAACGTTATTGTTTACTTTCTCCGTCATTGTATGTAGATATGACTTTTTCTCCGTTCATCTCCGTCCAACAACTTCCTGTCAACAGCGCTAACTCTCCTTCAAAATAAAAGCATGTCCATACAAAATAGGAAGCCAAGCCAAATTACACTTAAGACACATACAACTGCAATGAAAGTAACAAACACAATGCAATATCGTTTTCAATTTCAAAGAACACAAATTGGGTTATTTACATAAACAAATAACTATAAAACAACAATACTGTAGAACAGGGGTCGGCAACCTTTTTGATATGAAGTGCCATTAAAAATCTCGATATCAGTGTGTGTGTGTGGATGGTAGAGCGAGAGTGAGCAAGCGTGTGTATGTTTCTGGAAATGAAACGAGGCAGCAGAAAAACAGGTCTATGATGTATTTTGTGAAATAGAAGAACAACTAAATAAATGCAACAGCCTCCCAAGAAGAGCTCGCCTCTCTCCAGTCATTTAAGCTAAAGTGGGTTATTGAACCTGAAGCTTGTTGCTTCTGCCCTGGGAGACGACAGAGAGTCATCCCCTCCTCGACTACGGTCTAGGAGCCGACAGGAAAGTTCAACACACAGATGGCCAGTCCGCCCCTTTGTAGCCTATTATTTCGATGAGAGATGAGCAGATCGCCACTGGGCTTTCAACTAAAGACGCAGCCACGCAAAAACTGCGGCATTTGTACAGCTCCTTATGGGTACTGCAATTAGTGAAGTGCTTTCCTCTGTGGTGAAACGATCAGCACTGCACCACGGAGGAAAGCGGCAGAAAGTCGCCTGGAGTTAAAGAGAGCGGGGCTGCGTTGCGTGCATGGCTTCCTGCTGCAGGTAACGGGGAGACGGGCTCTGGCAGCGGTCTTGTTCAGGATCCGAAAATACAATTGAAATATTTTGCACACTTATTCCTAGTGTGCCACTGGTTACGGTGCCGCGTGCCAGGGGTTGCCGACCCCTGCTGTAGAAAAACAAAATGAATGCCGTGAATAAACCGAAATACACGTGTTGAAGCGGTTCGCTGCTGATTACTACGCACCCTCTCCCCGCACGGGCCGAATATTCGAATATTCGTTACTGATTACTACCGAATATCCGGAGCCCGAAAAATGGTATTAGTGTTTATATATAATGAAGTGTAAATATTTGACCACATCTATTAGTTCTTTTGATATTTAAAGTAAATGTCATCCTTATAGAGTGGTGGAGGAATGAGTCTTAAACCCGTAATTGACTTTGCTTTTAAGCACTTGTAACCGGGTTTTAAATTAGTTTTAGGTGAGATTCTCCCAAAAAGTGTTCACGTTTTGTTTCTCGACGTAAAATATGTCAGTAAATCCCCCACTGGTGAATGTCTGAAGCATCTATGTGTCTTAAAAACAGCGGTTGCTTACAGGTGGCTCAATAAGAGGACTAAACGTCATCACGTCGAACATTAGCCGCCTTTAGCTTAGCAGTGATGACGTGAAGTCATGTGACCATGCTGTAGTTCCCTTATAGCCTAACGATAGCTTTTAACTTCTGCCAATTCATGGGTCAAAAATCACAAACTGGTGTTGATATATGTGGAGATTATCCTGCTGAACAAATCGTGTAAGCATCATAAACATGTTTTTGCCACACATCTTATTTTCTGCAATATTCCTTTGCTGTTAGTCGAGAGAGCCGTTGTATATATCCTTTATTTAACCAGGCTCGAATTTTGAATTGAGCCGTCCCTTATAGATACTATGTCTTTACGTTAGTGAGCCGGATCATTTGGCTCTGAGCTCACGCGCGTGCTCCACTAATACCCCCCCCCTCATCGCGTCCAAATTGTGCACGTTCCGTGTTGTCCTGTGGCAGGCACCGCCAATGTCAGGGAAACGTTCTTCAATACTCCGAAAAGAATCCCACCAGACTCCTTTGCCCCTCCAACAGAGGGATGTCCTTGTCCTTTTTCCTTTTCGTCATTTCAAGCGATAAAAACTCGATCTTCTCTCGAATTATAAACATTTTCCGGCACCCTCGGCTCGAGTTCAGGCCGTTCCGAGCTGAATAAGGGCGTCAAATGACGGCAAGACGCCCCCCTGGCGAAAACGCTGTGTGACACTATTGCCCATGTTTGTGTTTGTTTCCCAGGTTCCTCCCGGACCAGACGGTGTTCCCCAGTGTGGTGTGGCTGCTGCACTCGGTGCAGGCGCAGGGCGACTGCGCTCCTCCTCGCCTCGTGCTCCGCTCCGCCCTCTACCTGCTGGCAGCGACACAAGACAAGATCCCAAACCTCGATGGGGTAACTCAGATCATCGCTGCACAGAAATCAAAACATATTCTTCTCTGTAACTTCCACATTTTCACAGTAGAGAAAAGCATTATGGTATTTTTTCTAAGTGCTGTATTTAATATATGTGTGTTCTTAAGTACAATTTTGAGGTATTTGTACTCATAGTATTTTCCTTTTTATGCTACCTAATTATTTCTCCTCAACAACATTTTAGAAACAAATATTGTACTTTGTACTCCACTAGGTTATTTGGACATCTTTAGTTCATATAGATATAGATTATCAGCTAATGGTTAAGCAATGTTAATTTTTTATTTCAAGCGTCATACTGTTACACGCTCTGATGTAACAACAGTATGCTATTGGACAACTTAACAAAAATGATTAATATTTAGTACAAAAATATATATCAATTAATAATTAAACCACAGTTTTAACCACAGAGTGCCACAGTCCTAAAACCAGGAAGTAAACTCCTTCCGGTTCCTTCGACAAAAACGCAATGCAATCTCTCCATAGGGTTTTGGAAAATAGCTGGAAATAAGGTCTGTGGTTGAGACACATTTAAGAGACGGATCAGTTTTGTTCAGCCGGATAATATCCACATGTCTATCCTACTTTTATAATTTTCTAATCGTAAATCTAATCGCCAGAAGCAAAACGTTATGCTATAAATGAACTACAGCAGGGTCGCTGCTTCAACGTCACGCCAACTTAAGATCCATATTCAAACATACAGATTCTAAATGGAACAAGTTGAAGCATTTGTTTCAACAGTTTGCAGGAGGCAGGTACTTGCTTTCAAGCAGAACAAACTTAGAGGAGTGTTTACGTGTTCGGCGTAATGACGTACAACTAACTCAACAACTTCTGTAGTCCTATTCAGCCACTTGTTAACAACCATCGTTTTTCAGACACGTAAACTCTTCAAAAATCACCAGTGGGGTCACTGCTGATGGATTCAATGTCGTAGAACAAAACGTGATCCGTCTCTTCAATGTGTCTCAACCACAGACCTTATTTCCAGCTATTTTCCAAAATCCTATGGAGAAATTGCATTGGTTTATTCGAAGGAACCGGAAGCGGTCAAATGCTAACTTACTTCCAGGTTTTAGGACGCGTCACTGTGGCACTCTATAGTGACATATAATTATAGGGTCAGATATTTGGAAGCTGAATATAAAGTCATTAAAATTAGCTCCACCTTTACAAGCTGTGATGAACACATTAATGCACCGATAATCAGAATCCAATCATTTAATATTTATAATTCTAAAATGGGCCATGCATAACGAGTACTTTTACTTTTGGTACTAAAGTATATTAGACTTGAAGTGCAGAACTTTGACTAAAGATCTGAGTACTTCTTCCTCCTCTAACTGTGTTTTATGCTTTTCAGTTATGACCATTTTGTATATTTGCCTTTTTTCAGTATTTTCAACAGTTTTACCTTTTATCTCTTTAAATCTCACCACAACACACACTGACAGCAGAGGCAGGTAGTCCGCCTCGAGGCATATTCAGCAAGATTCAAGCAGTACAACATTAAAGTGTCAAGATTTCCTTAAGATGAAGGAGTTCAAAGTGTTGTTTTTCCTGTTCACAAAGAAAGAACAGCATGCACTGCAGCTGGAGCTCTGGTGGAGGACAGCTTTTATTCATCTTTGGATGCAACAAATAGTATTTCCTCAAAATAATGTTCTTCTGTTTACTTCAAAAAGCATCATATTATATTATTGCACACTTGACTCCACTGGACTCCTTTGTTTACTTCCATATGGGGACATCACTAAGTAACACTCACGCTACTATTGGCTAGCGCTCCAACACATTGCACGTGATAGGCTAAGGGGCGGGACATCTCTAAGCGGTTGATCAATCACAACAGAGCCGGCCAGCTAACCAATCAGAGCAGACTGGGCTCCGGTTTCAGACAGAGGGTGAAAAGAGTTGCTGCAGCACAGGCAGTATGAGACAAATAAAGAGCTTGTTGAACATTAAAGCATGGAGACATTAAGGGTTGCAAAGGGGCGGAACATTTTCGGTAAATTTCCATGGGAAGTTAAGCTGGGGAATTTTGGAAATATTCCATATTGGAAACTTTCCATGGGAATTAATTGGAATTATGGGAACTAACTGGGAATTGAAGGTAATGTAATCGAATTGTGTCATATCCAAGCATAAATATAAACATTTTGTTTTGTCATAAGAAAACATCCATGCAAAATGATACAATTAAAAAAAACCTAACATTTCAACAGATTTATTTGTAAGTAGAACAGAACAAGTTTACATTCTTTTATTGAACAATCATTTGTTTAATTGAAGAACAAAAACATGAATGTTGAGTTAAATATTACTTCTAGAAATCATGTGTGCATGTGATGGAGGAATGCACAGTGCTGTAGGCGGTGTGGTCTCAATAGCCATGCAGTAAGCAGTGTGCTATGTGCATGTGATTGAGGAATGGCATGGATATTCAAGTGTACTTGAATGGCTACTGTTTGTTGTTTGTCAAGATTATGCTAAAATATTCTTTCCCCAACTATATTTAAGTTCCCTATGAAGAGCCAACCTTCAACTTTGAAAATTCCCGTTTATTCCCGTTAATTCCCATGGAAAGTTTCCATCTTTGAAAAGTCCCAGAATTTTGCAGCCCTAGAGATCACGGTAGAGGCATAATATATGAATATGAAGCTGGTAGCTCCATATATGACAATTTGATTGTTTTCAAAACTATTTACCTTGTTTGTGTGCTTATCACAAGTAAAGTATGTTTCAATATTTTTTACCAACACCGAAGGCTCCTTTGAGCTGCATCAGCAAGGCGCTCTCCTCCCAAAGCTTCTCCTCCCTCTACATCCACCACCCTGCTCTCCTCCACTTCATCTATCGATATCCCGATCTAGTGGAGAAATTCGGGTCGCTGGTCCTGGAGCTTTGGTTGACCAAGCAGACTCAGCACACAGATGCAGAGCAGAGCATGGTAAGGGGGGCAAATAGTTTCACTTCTTTCAAGTATTCATCAATAAATAATTGTAGTGCTTTGATTAAAAACACATCAACAAGTTTCACTAATTATTTCACTAACAGTAAGTGTTAGAAATGCACTAAAGTTTTTTTTAAATCATTGTCTTTAACTTCTCGCAAATTAATTGTAATGAAAAGCTGGTCGGCTTTTATTTCTTGGTACAGGAGACAGGAGAGCAGAGAGAAAGCGGTGCGGAGGAGGATAAGGAGCCGGACACAGAAACACGGGAGCTGCTGACTCTGATAGAGAAACACCCAGCTGTCCTGCTGACCCTCCTGGTGAGAATTAAAGACCCCAAACAAGAAGCTGCATTTTAATTGGCTATAATTGACACGAAGGACTCACAAGAACTCAGATGCACGATTCGTTCTTGACTTCAAAAATATATTTTATTATACAAAAGACTTCTCAAAGTAAAAGGTTTCTAGGATCAACTAGGATTCTCAAAAGTTCTCTAGGTTCGACTAGGTTGCTCAATAGTTCACGAGGGAGTACAGACATGGACTTGGTGTTGAGACAAGACGAACCGACAAAAGGCAAAAGGAGAGAAGGGCTATATATACACACAACAGGTAATGGGGCACAGGTGAAAACAATCATGATCAGGAGACCACAATCAAGCTGGCAGGTGACACGCAAAGACAGGAAGTGTAGACACCTGAAAAGAGAGGGTAGAGTCAATACCAAAATAAAATGCAAGGTCACAAGAATAAACACAAAACAATAAACTAAAAGAACTCTAACGCTGAAACCTTACAATAATAAAGTGAAGATGCTTTTAAATGCTGCCTGGTTTTATGTAGTGTTTCACACCCAGTTAGGACTAGCCAGGAGCAGTAAAACAGGGGGTCCGCGGGGTCTTAAAAAGTATTAAAAGTTGATAAATCAATTTAGCGAAAATGAAGGCTATCAAAAAGTATTAAAGGGCATTTTCCAAGGTATTACATTTTGTAGCTTGTTTTCAATAAGTATATAAATTGTCCAAAGAGGTTGTATTCTACAGTCTGCCTGAATGTAATCATTGCGTAGGTGTGTAGTGTGATTCTGTGTAGTTTATTTATGGCATCCTGTTGAGTTTGACGTCATCTGAACAGGACATCGCACGCTCACTGCTTGATAGCGCGCGAAGGTCCGTTTACGCCGGTTGTTAAACAACATCGTTATGGGAAATGCAAGTCTGCGTCCAAATGGTTGGAAGATAAGGAGGAAGGACAATCAATACTGTATATCAGGGGTCGGCAACAGGCGGACCGCGGTCCGGATCCGGACCCAGACGCCGACCTATACGGACCCGGAGCTATAATCAATACATTAATAGGGGATTTTTCGGCGCCTCCCGCTTTTTTAACGCTGATTTGGGTGACTTGTGTAATTCGTGGAGAACCGAAGAGTTTTCGTTTTGGGGGTGGGGAGTCAGTCCGACTGACGGACAACTTCTCACTTCAAAAAAGAAGAAGAAATCTAGACCGCAAAAATAATTAAACAAGCGAGTGCCTGTTTTTCCTAGCCAAGGACAGGTTCCTTGAACACAACACGAGCGTAACGTGTCATCACGTGGTATATGTCTCGTCTGAAAGGAGTGCTGACAGAGAGCACCGGAACGCTGCTCCGGCACTTCAAATATTGCAGTACCCATAAGGAGCCGTACACATGCCGCAGTGGTTGCGTGGCTGTGTCTTTAGTTGTAAGCACAGTGGCGATCTGTTGTTATTAGCATCTGGTTAGCTAGCTATGCTAACGAATTTAAAGAGCTTTTCTACAACCAGGTGGAAGAGAGCTCTCTCCTGAGAGGCTCAAATAACCTCAGCTCAGTGAGGTTAAGGCACATCTTGATATGATCATTATAGTTATTAATGAGACTAAATGGAAAAACAGGTATAAAATACTATATGACAGTAACAAAAAAGTTGTTAAAAACAAGTTTAAAAGGGGAGTGATTTGTAAAATATCCAAAAAGAAAAATCGGCTTACAGTTCTGTTTCATATGGGTGTTGAAAGATGTATCCATAGATCTCTTCATGTTGCTCTCAAAGTGTACCAGATTGATGCTTTTAACTTCAATATTTAAAAAAAAATCTTCCCGGGGGAGCATGCCCCCGGACCCCCCTAGAGGAGGTTAGGTCCCCCCCACTTAAATCATGTTCACATTGATAGGATACTAAATACATTTGCACACATCTTGTGTCCATATCTTTCTGTTTTGGTGGTCATGCCACACCGTGCATGCATGCGCGAGTCATGGTAAGATATCTGGATTAAGAGGTTGCTTTTTCTTTGCACAGCATGAAAGAAAGGCGAAATGAATGGGCTGTGATTTTAGTTTTTTTAAGCAGAGGTTGAGTTCAATCATTTGTACGACCCTCGGAGGATGTTGTAAAAATTGAAAGGAAAAAAGGTCCCCACCCCTGCTGTAAATAATAATAAAAACCCTTGATTTATAACTTAACATCTCTGTTTCCTATTGATCTGAGTATATTATAAAGAACAGTTATAGCACAGGCCTTTGTCAGATGGTATATTACGCTGTTTTTTTCCTGCTTCGAATAGTTCTCTCTTTTTTCACCATACCTGTGTTTGCATCACTGTAACCAATGAGCACCTGCATGTGTATGAGAATGGCCCTGACACAATTTCAGCCCAGATTTAAACTCCTGGCAGGACAAGCTCCAGCTCAATTCTCACACTGAATTTAAAAAAAGTGAGTGAGGGACTGCAATATAAGAGGGAAAGAAAGAGATAAGTCATGATGTGAAACGTTTAACAAAGAAAAAGGGAAACTCAAGCTGCTGCTACACTTTATTTTATTTATCTAAAATTAAGCACTTTTAAGATGCACATATTTTCAAAAGCAATTTTATTTATTTTCTCTATTTTATTTTGAAATGCAGCCCGAGAGGAACATTACACATATCCACAGTATTTACTGTATATCTGTAGAGTTCAATGTTAATTGACAATAAATATTGTTGTTTTTGAATTGTACTTTCTTTATTTGATTGGCAGTCAGTTGTTGATTACATGCAGACGTTGATAAAGCTGTAGCTACTTCAATATATATCACACTAATTCATAAAGCAACTTAGACATTTTGATGTTCCGGACCTTTGCATGGGGAGATTTCCTCGAACTGGACCTCGTTGAATTTTAATTGAATACCCCTGCTGTATATAGTCAATGTGAGGTGAAGTGTGTCGCCAAGGTAACCGGTTAAAACTCCAAGTCGCGATGAGGTCTTAAAATGTATGGAAATGGTCTTAAAAAAGGTCTTAAAAGGTCTTACATTTGACTTCAGGATTCCTGCATATACCCTGTTCAAAGACTTGGTGTTATAGTTTGTGCTAGGATTGGGCAATTGTTCCTATTTTCATATTGTCGAATATGTGGGAATGGGGAAATTAAGAAGTAAAATGCCAGCATGGATGACAAAATAACTGTCAAAGAAAAAATATCCAGTTAAATGAATAAGCATTTAGAAAACAGAGTGATGATTTTATCCATGCCTCCCTTCAGAAAAGGATTACTTGGTGCTACAATGATATCATCTTGTAATATAAAGAAGGAGAAAAAATACATCATAAATCCACAAAGAGAAATTCAGTTTTCATTCTGTTGCGAGACAATTGAAATATAATACAAGAAATACATAGAATGCTTCTCTATTCTCTAATTCCCCTCCTCGACTCCTATCCTCGTGTCTTAGTCCCCGCCCACAGGAGATGCGAGCGGAGGAGTCGAGGAGGGGAGCCGAGGAGAGAGGAGGGGAAGCAGCAGGCGGTTAGAGAAATGAGAACTCCTCTCCTCTGAGCGGTCATTTTAAAGAGACATCCATTAATGATGACAGGAGGCACAGCAGCCCTCTGTCTGATGGACAGATGTGTTCATGACTTATATATTTACTTTTAATTCATTCACAGTGCGGTATAATGAGACAATAACAGGCTACAGATGCGGACATATACACACACATATTTCTATAAATATATACAATTTCAGAATCGAACAAGTATGAGAGCACTCTCATAACGTCACACAATCAGAGACTGGATATACAGTGGGGCAAAAAAGTATTTAGTCAGCCACCAATTGTGCAAGTTCTCTCACTTAAAAAGATGAGAGAGGCCTGTAATTGTCATCCTAGGTATACCTCAACTATGAGAGACAAAATGAGATCCAAAAAATCACATTGTCTGATTTTTAAAGAATTTATTTGCAAATTATGGTGGAAAATAAGTATTTGGTCAATAACAAAAGTTCATCTCAATACTTTGTTATATACCCTTTGTTGGCAATGACAGAGGTCAAACGTTTTCTGTAAGTCTTCACAAGGTTTTCACACACTGTTGCTGGTATTTTGGCCCATTCCTCCATGCAGATCTCCTCTAGAGCAGTGATGTTTTGGGGCTGTCGCTGGGCAACACGGACTTTCAACTCCCTCCAAAGATTTTCTATGGGGTTGAGATCTGGAGACTGGCTAGGCCACTCCAGGACCTTGAAATGCTTCTTACGAAGCCACTCCTTCGTTGCCCGGGCGGTGTGTTTGGGATCATTATCATGCTGAAAGACCCAGCCACGTTTCATCTTCAATGCTCTTGCTGATGGAAGGAGGTTGTCACTCAAAATCTCACGATACATGGCCCCATTCATTCTTTCCTTTACACGGATCAGTCGTCCTGGTCCCTTTGCAGAAAAACAGCCCCAAAGCATGATGTTTCCACCCCCATGTTTCACAGTAGGTATGGTGTTCTTTGGATGCAACTTAGCATTCTTTCTCCTCCAAACACGTCTAGTTGAGTTTTTACCAAAAAGTTCTATTTTGGTTTCATCTGACCATATGACATTCTCCCAACCCTCTTCTGGATCATCTAAATCAGAGGTGCCCAGTACGTCGACCGGTCGACCGCGGGGGCAATGCTGGTAGATGGCGAGTCATTCATAAAAAAAAAAAATCCAGCTCCGTTAAAATAGACAAAACAGGTTTTGATTCCTCCTCCCTTGGCCTCCCTGCCACTTAATTCAGGAGTTTACTTGATTGACAGAAAAAGCGACCTCTCGCTTTCCAGTCTGTTAACCCAGAATGCAAAGCGATACAAAATCAGTCAAGTGCCGGGAAAACTCAAATTAAGTTAAAGAGACAAACAAGAGACAAACAACAAAATGAGTGCGGGACCAAGCAAAAAGCTAAAGACAAACCACTTCCACCCAGTATGGGAGGAAGAATATTTGTTTGTGATGTCACATTCAAAGGTTATTTGCCTTATTTGTAAAGCAAGCGTTGCTCTGCCAAAGAAAGGTAACGTGGAGAGGCATTATCGAAGTGTTCACAAGGCATGACAGCGACTTCCCTCCGAGTAGCGAGTTGAGAAAGAGAAAGAGAAAGGTCATGTGTTATTGCTACACAAACATTATCTTGCAGTCTTAGTGTCGCCAACTCGTTTCTAATATGCAAAAAGACAAAAAAAATGCGTTTCCAATCGAGACGAGATCTCTTTCTCTCCCCCGTCTGTGTGCGAAGGGGCGGGGCAGTTTACACACACGCGGCTGCTACATGCAGCAGCACACGGCGGGGATGGCGGAGAGAAGCGCTCCAAGGTGTGGTTAAATGTTACCCGTCTTGAGGTGGACAATTCTCGTTGCCAAGAGTGTTTATCATGTAAGGGCGGTAACACGAGCAATTTGTCTAAACATTTATCAAAAGTGCTCCACATTCAGACGGAGGAATGAAACCGGGTTCCACTGTCTTTCTAGTAGCTCTGTAGCCCCCCCCATCCACGAGTAACGTTTCCACGTCAGGTGTTATGTGTGCTAGCAGCAACACACGCAGTTAACTCAATTATACAAACATGGGTTAATGATTAGAGGAAACTGAGTTATTTAGTTTGTTAAAGTTTCAGCTAGTCTGTTTACAGTTCTGTCATCAGATTATTTAATACGATTTGTTAAAACATGTTGTTTCTTTTGATGTAAAATATTATTTATTTAATTTAAATAAAAAGCAATGTTAATTTTGTTCACAATTTGTTAAGTTAATTTAATAATATATGTATTTTTGAATCAAGTATTCATCTTTATTGTCTTCATTGTTAGTTTCCACATGCCTAAAACAACCTCAAGCTAAATCTAAAAGTTGATGGCTAAATAAGAGCGTTTGAGAAATGGTGCAAGGCATACGTACAGTAATAGTCTGAATAGTCGATTAATCGTTTCATTAATCGATAGATTAATGGATTATCAAATGAGTCGTTTGTTGCAGCCCTATTGTAGTTATCATGTATAAATACAAACGTGTAATTCAGCAACCCTTGCAATTTGGGATTTTATTTTTGGTTGGTAGACCTCGGTGAGCTGGTCATTTCAAAAGTAGCTCACCAGCCAAAAAAGTGTGGACACCCCTGATCTAAATGCTCTCTAGCAAACTTCAGACGGGCCTGGACATGTACTGGCTTAAGCAGGGGGACACGTCTGGCACTGCAGGATTTGAGTCCCTGGCGGCGTAGTGTGTTACTGATGGTAGCCTTTGTTACTTTGGTCCCAGCTCTCTGCAGGTCATTGACTAGGTCCCCCCGTGTGGTTCTGGGATATTTGCTCACCGTTCTTGTGATCACTTTGACCCCACAGGGTGAGATCTTGCGTGGAGCCCCAGATCGAGGGAGATTATCAGTGGTCTTGTATGTCTTCCATTTTCTAATAATTGCTCCCACAGTTGATTTCTTCACACCAAGCTGCTTACCTATTGCAGATTCAGTCTTCCCAGCCTGGTGCAGGTCTACCATTTTGTTTCTGGTGTCCTTTGACAGCTCTTTGGTCTTGGCCATAGTGGAGTTTGGAGTGTGACTGTTTGAGGTTGTGGACAGGTGTCTTTTATACTGATAACGGGTTCAAACAGGTGCCATTAATACAGTTAACAAGTGGAGGACAGAGGAGGCTCTTAAAGAAGAAGTTACAGGTCTGTGAGAGCCAGACATCTTGTTTGTTTGTAGGTGACCAAATACTTATTTTACCGAGGAATTTACCAATTAATTCATTAAAAATCCTACAATGTGATTTCCTGGATTCTTTCCCCCCATTCTGTCTCTCATAGTTGAAGTGTACCTGGGATGAAAATTACAGGCCTCTCTCATCTTTTTAAGTGGGAGAACTTGCACAATTGGTGGCTGACTAAATACTTTTTTGCCCCACTGTATCTCCCCTCGGTCCTCGATGTGCATTTGGAGAAATTAGATGTCCTTCAACATGGCGCGCTGAAATCCATTTCCGGGTCACTACCGGAGGAGTCGAGGAGGGGAAATTAGAGAATTGAGAAGCCTTCATAGTGTCTCAAAAAGAGAGGTGGCAGCCATAGTTCATCCCAGTCTAAGTCGTATAGAAAAAGGTTTACAACTCTTATGGAGAGCAGGCATAAGAATAATATAAGGAAAACCAAATTGTAATTAAGGATTTAAATGAAATCGTCACTTGTGTTAATTGACAAAGCTCAGCGACAGGCATGCCACTCCACATGAAAACATCTCTTAATGCAAAGTAGGGAGCAGATGGTTATTAGATAAGATTATTTTTAGACCACATCGTAGTTCTGATAGTAAGGGTTCTGATAGTACCCTTAGATGTCAGAAAACCAATCGTCTTTTCTGATCACAAATCGTTGTATTGCGTTTCGACAATGCATAACCAGTGTTTGTCTTTTAGAAATGGAAAACAAAATATATGCATACAAATGAGACAGTGGTCTGTACTGATTGAATGTAAAAAGAGACACAATTAATTACAGAGAACACACACAAACAATAGCAACGACTAAAGTAATCCCATACATTCACTGCCGGTGACCAATCATATTTTCAATCATTGAAGTACAATTAAATACCAATTACATCAAGCTAGTTTATAGAAAACACAAATATATTAAGCAGCATGTTATTTATGTTTACCTGGATTCATTCCCTTAGTTATTTTGACTGTTAATATAATATAATAGAATCCTTTATTGTCATTATACAGGTACAATGAGATGAGTAGAGCTACTCCTTTCTTTAAGGTGTCATCAGAAATACAAAAAACAAACAAACAAGAGATGTACAACATCCCGGAGAAGACAACATACAAACAACAAGCATTCATACTTCAATATGCAGATACAGTTAAAGTGCAGGAATATATCAGTTAAGGAAAATAAATATGTTTGAATGTGTATACAAATATATACATAGAAGATATTATTACTACACAAACCCTTCCTAAATGTGTCTGACTGTGTGTCTTACAGGACATGGTCTGCAGCAGAGAGCCCCCCCTGGCAGGCAGAGCTCTGGGAGTGCTGGAAGTCCTTCTGCGAGCTCAGAGAGACTTTGAGTCTGACTTGTGTTTCAGTCTGAGGCCGGCCGTGCTGCAGGCGCTGCAGAGACACAGTGTGGAGAGCATGGGAAATGGACTCAGCCAGGGACACGCTGCACAGGGTGAGAGAGACACACAGGGAGAGAGAGACACACAGGATGATAGAGACACACAAGGTGATAGAGACACAGGGAGAGAGACACACACACACACACACACACACATACACAGGTAGAGAGAGACACACACAGGGAGAGAGAGACACACACAGGGAGAGAGAGACACACACACAGGGAGAGAGTTATACAAACACCTGTTGCATTCCAAGAGAAGAAATATCTTAAGGGAGAAATCTGTGCACGGTTAAAAGCAAGTTTACCGTAATGGATAATACAAGAAAGTCAAAGTCAACTTTATTGTCAATCTTTCAGTTTGTGTGTACAGACAGAGAGATCGAAATACCGTTTCCCACAATCCCGAATACAAAAAAGACAAATATGTATAGAGAGGCGAAGTCCCGCCCATCTACTTCCGACCCATGTGACCTTATTTCGGAAAAATTATGTATTGAAGTCAATGGGGAGAGAAAACGTATATTTCGATCCCGTTTGAATTGTGCCACAAATTGTTTGTCAATCTGAAAAAATTATTTCCATGTAAAAAAAGTCACAGTTTGTCGTAAAACTGTAGAAATACAAGACTAAGAAAAATACGCAACTAGAAAGACTACAAATCCCAGAATCCCGGTCCCGCATGCTGGCTCTTACGGAACCGACAACTCCCCTTGTGTGTATGTACAGCTCTCAACATATATTGAAAAAAACTGACATTGCGATTTTTTTTCCCCTGCGATATATATTGCGTTTTTTTTAACTATATTTAGCCGGATGAAGGTATTGTCCTCCTGTGCCTCGCTCATTTTTTACCGGTGTTTTGATGGTCTGCAAACTAGCGGGGCGGGGCCTGCTGTGATCTGATCAAGAATGATTGTGATTGATGGTTTGCTGTGCATGCAGAGCCTGCATGTCAATCACTCAAGTACCCCTGACATGAGAGCCGCGCAAGTTTTCCTTTTGTAGCAAGCAGCTAAATAATTGTAACATGACGTGTTTGAGTTAATGTACCTACTTAAGCACTGAGCCTGTTTTTCAGGTCTCAGGCTCAAAATGACCTTCCCAGAACAAATGACCATATCTTCCCTTCTAAAAAGGGTTAAATGAATAATCTGTTTCTCAAAGTAATGATAAACCTGTGAGTTGGATGTAGAAAAGTCAGAATCAATATAGATGTTTTTTATTTTAAAGAAAATTCAGATTGAACATAGTAAAAAACTAAATTATAGTGTCTGTCCAAAAATTCTTTTTTACTTATAGTGAAAACTACCCTTGGATGATGGTAAGGTAGACTAAAAGCTTTAGGAATACAAAGTATAACATATAATAAGTACCCTGTATCAAGATTGATGCAAAACAAGTGACATTTGACCTTTTTAGAGAGATTTAGCACACAAAAAACACTTCTGGGGTCATTTGGGTGGATTTTCCATATCTCTGGCCCCCCTTGGTCGATTTTGACGAATGAAATCTCTTTATAACCGCTAGAGCCAATGGAATCGAGGGGAAGTTCTACACACACCAACACATGAACAAATAAGGAGTGAGAGTGACGCGTAGCCAAAACCGGAAGCTGCATACACTCTGTTGGCTACCATTAGCAGCTAACTTTTTTGCTCCGATTTTACATAAAAATTGAATTCCATCCATCCATCCATCTTCTCCCGCTTATCCGTGGTCGGGTCGCGGGGGTAGCAATTCCAGCAGAGAGCCCCAAACTTTCTTTTCCCTGGCGACATCAACCAGCTCTGACTGGGGGATCCCAAGGCGCTCCCAGGCCAGCGAAGAGATATAATCCCTCCACCTGGTCCTAGGTCTACCCCTTGGTCTCTTCCCAGCTGGACGTGCCTGGAACACCTCCCTAGGGAGGCGCCCAGGTGGCATCCTAACTAGGTGCCCGAACCACCTCAACTGGCTCCTTTCGACGCGAAGGAGGAGCGGCTCAACTCCGAGTCCCTCCCTGATGACCGAACTTCTCACCTTATCCCTAAGGGAGACACCAGCCACCCTGCGGAGAAAACCCATCTCGGCCGCTTGTATCCGCTCTATAAAAATTGAATTTTGGATTATAAACAATTGCTTCAAAGCCACAGATACATTATTAACCTATGGATCAACTGATTCAGCCGCGTTTTTTCTCGTTTTAATGCCATTGAACACGTCTTTTGATCAGATTGACAGCTACGGTGAGACCCGTAAAAGCTCCGTAAAGGTACGTGTTGTGATGTCTGTTTGCTTCCCCTGTCGCGAGATCGGATCGCTTAGTGATGATACTATACTTAAATAATCTGGAGTCTCAGCTTTAATCGGATATATTGTATGTGCAGTTTCGATAAGTAATAAGGGTATCTTTATTTTGAATTCTGTGCTAAAGTGTGTTAGCATTTTAAAAAAAAGAATAAAACCGCACGTCCCTGCGGTGTGAATATCGCGCATATCGCGGTTATCGCCATGACACGATATATCGTTCAGCCCTACTATATACCTATATTTACACAATCAAAACATGATTATTGCAGTGTTATAATTATGTTGAAACAAAGCGTTATTACAATAACTTCAATTCAAATCTACTTCTCTGTTCAATACTATTTATTTTAAAACTGCACTGCTTTTCCACTTTAAGTTCAAATAAAGTGCACATATTTTCCTTTTCCTAGTCATATAATAATAATAAAATGATAATTATGCACCAACAGACCACCTTTAAAACACAGAGAATACAATTAACCTAAAAAAAGCAAATTATATTATAAAACACATAGTAAACAAATAGAAAGTCATTCAACATAAATACAATTGAATAAAAGCATTTATCAAAAAGTTAGTTTTTAAAAGCAATTCCTTTGCATAATTTTTTTTCAGATTTGTTGGTGTTTTTATTTCTTTTAAACATTTCTTTTTAGTTTTTAAAATAGGATATACAATATTTTGCTGCTTTTTACGACTAGATTCCTCTTACTGTGTTAATGTCTGCCCCATTATACACCCAACTAAACTTCTTGTATGTGTAAACCTACAGATGAAGCACTCCAGATCAGACTCAGATGGGTGTGTCCCAGTCAAAAGCCCAGCGAATGCCAGTGGCTGGGGGTGTTGCCAAATTGCTAGAGGGCGTTGCCCAATTTCCCCATTTGTTCAATTACAGGATTTAACCATAAGATGGCGCTTCATTCACAAAATACACAAAGACAACTGGGTGTTGATGAACTTAGTCTGTTTGCAATGTTTGCAGCTCTGCAGTTGTGTTTGCTGAATACTGTAGCATTTAATCACTTATTTGTTACTGTATGGTTTTCACAAGCTACTATAATGAAAAAACATCAATATTTTAGATCAAATAAAGTATATAGTTTGCTTTATGCAGTATATTTCTTGTAATATTGTTGGGGTGTTTTTACACAGTACAGTAGATTGAAGTAAATCAACTTATACATTAAGATAAGATAAGATGGACCTTTATTAATCCCGTGGGGAAATTCAGTAGTTGAAACAGCAACAGGGTGAGAGTGAAAAACAGGACAGCACAGATTCACACAGATTAATACAATCAAAAATAAGATGAGCTATACAAATAATAATAATAATGAGAAACTATGAAATAAGAAATGAATAAAACTAAAATGTAATTATCATATCATATATTATAATGTATTGTATTATTAAGTAATATCATACATTAGCCCCATTATAGCAGATGCCACATTGAATGGATGAACACATTTATGCATCAATAATTACAACAGAGTATTTCTAAATACAAGTTGTAAAAATATTTATATGTATTTAATATTAACCCTTTGGAGTCAACCGTCACGCCGGCGTGATCAGATCACATGACCTGTTCAAGCCGGTGCCGCATAAAAACAACAGTCCGGACAACATTGCCGTGTGTTTCTGTCGAAAGTACTGGCTTGAAACTATATCCCAGTCTTTGTTTCATGCAAAAAGACCCAGTAAACACGGAGATACGATGATATAAAGTTAATACATTTCAAAAGTATGAAAAATGGAAGCACATATTTTAATATCCTCGCCGTATTTGATCATTTTACGAAACGGAAAATACTGGAAACTGTAGATTCTGCTCAACAGGATGTATATGTGTATTTCTGTCGAAAGTACTGGCTTGAAACTATATGCCAGTCTTTGTTTCATGCAAAAAGACCCAATAAACACGGACATACGATGATATAAAGTTAATACAGATATATTTCAGAAGTATGAATAATGGAAGCACATATTTTAATATCTTCGCCGTATTTGATCATTTTACGAAACGGAAAATACTGGAAACTGTAGATTCTGCTCAACAGGATGTATATGTGTATTTATGTCGAAAGTACTGGCTTGAAACTATATGCCAGTCTTTGTTTCATGCAAAAAGACCCAATAAACACGGACCCTTGGGAGAATTCCTCCACACATTCCGATGGCCAATTCGTTTTAAACAAAGAGTTCGCAACACAGGACAGCTAGGCAACATGGGGGGTGGGGGCTGGTGAACGGTCTGGTCAATGTTTGTAAACACAATCCCCAGGATGTGTCCTAATCAGGAGCCGGGTAAATGAGAGACTGAAGAGCCCCCGAAAAACAGATCCCGAAATAGCTCGTCCTGGTTTCCGCAGCAGATAGGCCTACAGTATGGTGTCTGTTATGTCAGTTATTTTAAATAAAACGTTGAAAACTGAACTTGAAAATAGTTTCCTCTTTTTATTTTATTTATCATTTTCGGGACGGGGAGACGTGTGTGATTAAAAATTAATTTGCAGAAATGTAAAGTGATCTAACTAAGTTCTATTCATATTCTTGACAGAAAGAGCAGTGTAAATTGGCCATATGCATTTGAAAAGCAATATAAATCACACAGTTATTATACAATAGGCTATAAAAGCACCATCGATAACCATTACCTTTATCCAATTCAAACTTTGGACGGAAGGTGTACATCAGGAGTGGCCAACCCGCGGCTCTCGAGCCGCATGCGGCTCTTTGCCCAGTCTCATGCG